ATATATATATATATATATCCCCCTCAAAAACCGGTGCACCTATAGACCCGTAGATCTCGAGGCGATAAGGTCCAGGGCGCCATGAGGCCAAAATGGGCGAGGGCATGGAGGAAGATTACAGAGAGGCCCATGCCGCACTTGAAGCCCAGGCGCCGCCCTGTCGCGTCTATCGAAAAGATTGGTGTGGAAATAGGAGTCTATAGGGCAAGGGTAAAGGCCAGGCGGTATGGCGAATAGGATGCTTTGACAGTCGAGCCTTTAGCAGTTTAGCCTTGAGGTTCCCTCTTGCACCAGTAATATTACTCAGAGCTTAGAGAAACACAAACACACACCACCAGCCCTTATTTCCATAAGCTTATATAGTATACAATCAAGTTAGCCACTGCCACGCATACCAGCAGCCTTGCAACACCTTTGACGAGAACCCGACTGAGGGTTCCTGGCCTTCGCGGAAACTGATCATGATGCGGTTTCTCATCAGGACGTAGTACGCCCTCATGTGCAACATCTTCCACAAAGCCAGCCTTTGTCACAAGTACCATCCGTTTCCGGTGCTGCTGCGAGGCTTTGTGTGAGAAATCCCAGTTAAACCGCCAGACTCAGCAACAGAGTCGTGGTCGCCATGTCTACTTGTCTCCGGAGCACTCGTTGACGCCACATGCCCGTGCGCTAGACAGCTGCTTCAACATGTGCCGCTGAAGCCCTTACATCCAAATCCTCATTTCATGTCCGACGCATCACCGCTGCACGCCCTGCCCAGTCCCCATGACAAGACCCTATACCCCTAAATCAGACCCTGAAGCCCTGAACCCTAAAGCGGCCCAGGGCACAGCACTGGCAAAGAGAGGCCCAGAACAGGGAAGATCCGCACCGCCGGGGTCGTCCAGTCGCAAGCGCTCTTCACTTGAAAGGAGTGGCCCTCGCCTCGGCTCAGACTCAGTTGTCACAACGGTTAAGGTTTAGGGTTTAGGGTTTAGGGTTTAGGGTTTAGGGTTTAGGGGCTTCTGCAATTTCTCCAACGGCAAACCCAGCTCCAAGGTTGCGAAACACCCAGGTCTAGGCTCTAGACTTGCACCCGTCTACGGCAGTGTACAACATGGGATTTCAGATGGTGCTGAATAGAATCTATAGTCCCTGGCATAGTATCTGCAGAACTTGGTGTCATTTCTGTCCCAGGCCGTACTTCAGAGCATACTGCAGTCCCACAAAGCACGTGCAGCAACCTCTTGGGACTCTTTGGACGGTGAACCGCTTTCAACCTCGAAGCCCAAAACCTCAAGAACCTAAAACCTTAAGCCGCCATAAACCCCGACAATCTGAAGCAGTACAAATCCTCACGCCCCAAAGACCAAACACCTCAGATGGGCATTTTTGTCCCTCAGAGCGCGCCGGAGTTGGGGTGCGAGCCCTGTCCGCAGCCATTCGCATAGCCAAAGCGGGGAGTGGCAATTCGCTCAAAGATCCATCGTGGATTCGGAGAGAGAACATGTTGAAGTCAATCTCTCTGGCTCCTGAAGCCGGATCTTAGCTTCCTTTCCGTGGCAAACCATGGAAAGCAGAACCCGCGACTCTGGGAAGCTGCAATAAACATGCTCAACGACTATATACGGAGCTGAGCACCTCTACTAGCAAAGAAGGTCTCGAACACCTTCAGCTTGAACACTCCTAGGGTGTCGTCCAGCACGAGGAAGGTGCGCAAACACTTGTAGTACGGGGAGGGGGAAACTGCTTGTTGGCATCCACCTTCTTCTCAACGTGCCCCCAGAACCACATCCAGGCATTCTCGCTCCAAGTTTCATCCCGACGGCAGCAGGGATCGCAGAGAAGCGAACATCGCGGACGTAAGTTCGCAAAGTGTGACCTTGTCGTAGCGGGCCAGCGTTAGCGCCAGGACGTCACACTCCTCCTGCATGCGGTCGATGTTGCTGACGTACGGAACCAGGGACTGCATGGCATACAGGATGTCCACGAACCATCTCCGATCCCCCACCCGGCCCACCCCCATGACCGAGGCGTAGCTGCTCAAGCTCAGGTCAGCAGGAGCCCAGCTGCAGAGCTAAGCTCTGCAGCTGCTCCGCTGCGGCCTCTGCTGTGGGCCTGTGCCATGGCTCCCT